ATCATCTCACTATTCAAAATCAATTTTTCCCCCAAAAATCTCTCCCAAACAGACTCTCAATCAGTCATGAGAGAAATAACAATTACGAGTACTTGTTTTTTCAACATTCCTTATTTTTTCCAGCTACAGGAACGATAATTAATAAGTTGAGCTGTAGTCCTGGGTGCTTTAACATTTACGAGATTTTATTTTTGTGTTGTTGCATAAATTATTTCAGTTTATGGCATCTTTTGCCGTTGCTGGATCGAATTATAGTTCTATTTTAAGTTTAGTTCCAGTATTTGGAACTCTAAGCTTGAGCCTTCCCCAATTGCTTTCTGGATTATTGATGGGATTAGTTTTGAAGATGAAATTTTTAGTATAGGTTTCATTTGTGAATAATCGCTGAACATGGAGAAAGATATTCTTTTTGTTCGAATTTCAAAGTTAATATGTTACTAGCCTTTTATTAATTGTCTTTACAAATGACCAACACAAATTCATGTTGGAAATTTATATAAAATGAACAAAAAGATGAGAAAAATGACAAAGCTTAGTTATGAACCAGTTCAACACTTCAACTTTACGCATAGTGCATTTTCTTTCAATGGAAAATTTTCCCTGTATTTAAAAAGATATATCTGTGGAGAAAAAGGAAAATGAATGTATTTGGATTTATGTAAACATTTTTACAGTTAAGTTAAATTTGTTAGCATGAGAACTAATTAAAATATTCTCAAAAGAATATTCTCATAATTTTTATGGGAGTACTTGTGTCATTGCTTAGGCCCCCCCAAGAAAGAGAGCCTGACTTTTCATGTCAATTATTCATACAACCCCAGATGCTTAAATCTCCCTTTACAAGTTTCTGATGAATTGATATTATCATGTGCAGGCATTTTTAGTTTTGGTTAAAAGTGTTTTTTTGTGATTTGCTAGAACATGAATTAACTTTTTGGCCCTGTAGGGATGCCTTCATCTTATTGGATATATACATTTAGTCTTGGGCTGAAGGAGATTGTTTAATTTTTCTGCCCACTTCAATTTAACAAAAAACATGTGGTGGTCTTATCATTTCAAATATTACTCATAGTTAGTATGTAATTATCTTTCAGGTTCAACTTGTATTTTCGGAAGAACCCCTTTGGCAGTGAATATACAGTTTTTGCTAGTCTAGAAGAGTGCATAAAGTTAATTGCTAACTTCAGAATCGCAGAGGATGAGATTGCTTTTATCCAAGCATCCTTGCCTCCGTCATGTGAGGTATACTGGTGCACTTAATATGTCAATGGTTATATGTTAAGTAATCAATCAAGTTATTAGGCAAATGTTCTGGTTTGCATCAAGATTTTGCACTTTGAAAACACAGTATTTAGTTACTAAACAACATACACTTCCACTCTCATTTTATTGCAAACAATCAAACCTTATATTAATTAGGATCACTTTGCTGATCTATTGCTCAACAGGACTTCAAGATTTCTGTGGTTTAGTTTTTTTTAATTAATTTTAATTAGGAAAACACGTTTGATCAATTTAAAATTTCAGGTCCTGTTTCATTAACACAAATTGGTTAGTTAATAATTGACTATCACCTACAAAATCAATTTTATTCTCTATCAGAAAACTGCATATGAAACGAGAAAAATGATCATAACCCAAACATTAGTTTCGGTAAAGTAATGACTAAACTGTTTAGATTGATGTTTCATAATTTGTTATCTAAAGTGCCTGAATCAAAAAGTAGATACTAGACAGTTTTCATGCCCTTGCTTATGCTATTACTATAATGCGTTTGTCAGACACAATGTTTCCTTTTATTTTCATTGTAACGTATGGCGTTTCTTATAGAATAGGTTCTCCTAATATTGTCAATTGTTTTTTGACTTTAGGACGGCTTCTACGACTACCTTCGAGGAATGAATTGTTCCAATGTGGAGATACATTCCATTTCTGAAGGATACGTTGTATTTCCAAATGTACCCTTAATGAGGGTTGAAGGACCAATAGCTGTGAGTACATCCAAAATTGTCCTTGATCATAAATCAGAAACGTAATTGGATAACATGCTAAAAATATGACTTCGTAGAACATAATAAAATATGACTTGATTCATATATTTGTTTGGTAAGCATCTTTCCTTATATTTGATAATTGTATCTGTCTTCTTAAGGTGGTTCAACTGCTTGAGACACCACTTTTAAATCTTATCAATTATGCATCGTTGGTAGCTACAAATGCTGCAAGGCATCATTTTGTTGCTGGGAAGTCCAAACTTCTTCTTGAATTTGGGCTACGAAGGGCTCAGGTCACATAAGTAGTCTTTCTTGTTTGTTTTACTTTGAAGGGCTTATCTTGTTCTATATCATTTGAGTCTTGTTTGTTTCATATTCATGTAGGGACCTGATGGTGGTATAGGGGCATCAAAGTATAGCTACATGGGTGGATTTGATGCTACAAGGTGATTCCCTGTGGATCGTGTAATTTAAACTTCATTTTGTTCATTGAATGTTCTTCAACAATTCTTCAAAGGCATTATGTCTCATTGGTTAACCATTTCAACCATTGGTTGACCCAATCGAACCAATGGATCATAGCAATAATTCTTTATATATCTTTATAGATACGTAACCAGGCACTAACCTACTCATACACGATATCAAAATATTAATGGGTTGTATGAATGTGTAAGTATGTAATTCTTCATTATTGGATAGAGGTAATGCTTTGTCATCCTCTATATCAAAACTTTGTTTTTCACAGTTGAGTTCTTAGAGTGTAGGCCCAACTTTATTGCAAATAGGTTTAGTTTGTATTTGTTGTTTACGTACACGTTCTTAGAGTATTTATAGTTTTACTCAATGTATAGTGAACTTCCAATTCTCTCTTTTTGACTTCATTATGTGTGAGTACGAATTCTTGAAGTATATAAAGAATTTCTTAACAATGTTGTTATTTTCATAATTTCTTGGGTGGACACGCTTAAACTATGTGCATTGAATTCTTTCAGATGAATATGGAATAGCAGATAGTTAATGGATTCAAAATTTCATCCTTATTTTTGAGGTAAACTTGAGCCGGCTAGGTCTCACTGGATTTTGATGTGTTATCTGATCTGACAAAGTCAAACCTTCAGAGGACCAGTTTAATGGGCTTCTTTGAATCATCCTGACCTTCTGGATTTAATGGTTGCACTTATCCAGTTTCTTCTTTAGTTAGTTGGTTTTAGAGTTGATTTTGCAGTTCGATATTTTTAAGAAAGTCCACCCCCACTCTCCCAACCAAAAAGAAAGAGAATATCTTAGCTTCTTGTTAATCAACATGATGCATAAGCTAGACTCATCTATTTTTGTTGTTGTGTGCTAACAGCAATGTTGCTGCTGGGAAATTATTTGGAATCCCACTCCGTGGAACACATTCCCATGCTTTTGTCAGCTCATTTATGGTAGGTATAATTACACACACACACATGTATTTATGTACGTGCATTAATTTTTTTCCCCAGAATCAGACCATTCATACCAGTTTCCTCTTAGTAGTGACAGGAGATTTATTGAAGTAGTTTGTAGTAATGTGCATCTTTCTATTCATCAAGTCTTATGAGTGCCTTCTCAATTGAAGCATATTTCTTTTATTATCACTCAGAAAGATAGTTCACTTTTCGAAGAACTTCTGCATACTGCATGTAGAATTGAATATGTAAGTTCTCTACTGCTATGACGACATTGGCTGGAAGGATATTGTGATTGTCTTTTTCTTTCGGAAGAAGAGAGAAACTCTGTTTTTTTCTGGTAGAAACTGGGACAAGGTTGAATATGCTTCAGAACTATTTTGAAGTTCTTTGTACATTTTGTGTGAAGGATAATTACTCTGAATGAAGTTGAGGCACGGTAGATCGTTAAGTAATTATTCTACAAGGGTTTGTTATCTGCTTATGATATAGTCCAAGTACTTGATACATTACCTCAATTTTTTGTAACAAAAAGCGGAGATAGCAATGTACACAGCTTTGGATTGGCGTCCAGTGACATGGACTAATTTATGTGCTTGTTTCAAAGCTCTTCTTGATTGTTACGCTTGGATTGGGATTTTAATCACCCATCTAGATACTCCTTCCCTTCTTTAGCACTCACATGCGCATAGTTTGAAGTTTTTTTCTTTTATGCAATATTTTTTTGTGTTCCTTCTTGTATTTTATTCATTATCTTAATTAATTCAATGATTCGCAGAGCCGTCATGAGATCACTGATAAATTGCTTCATAGTTCTGATGGTTCAAATGCTTGCGAGGATTTTGTTAGTTTGGCTCAAACATGGTTAAGGAAATTGAAGGTGTTCTCAACCTCAATCTACTTATATTAGATTTTCAAATGCATTATATTTTCTTGCTTCTCTGTGCCTTTTCTACCCTCATATTCTTTATTTATGCAAACCATCTCATGACTTACTATCCTTGTGCCATCAAACTTCAATACTTTAGTACTCAGATTTGATATTTCAACGTGAAATTTTCTAAATATTCTGATTTTTCTGAACCTTTTGTTTGCACATTTGGCAGCTGACAAATCATAATCTAGACATCCTCATAAAATTAAGCACGGCATGTTAAATTTGACACAACTTTTTGTGCATTGATCCACATTAGTGATCCAATTGTAATCATGTTCAGCGACACTCTTTTTATTAGAAGAATATTGTAGTATTAGTGGACCTTCACCATTGGGTGCAACCATCCATTACCTCAATATTTTATGAATTCTGTGTCTGCTTTCATTCAAGTTGCATTGGATAACTCAACTTAATCCATTTTCTCTTAGAATGACATGAAAAGGAGCTCCTTCACATATAACTTTATGAGCTCTTTAGTGACAGAAATCTCTTGATGCTTACTGAGCTACTTGTAATGTTATCTTTTAGCCCTTTCTTTGTTACAACGAAGTATGATTTACATGAAGTTTTTATATCAGTCGAGATGTGATATATTTATAACGTAAAGAACCTAATTCTGTTTTGTCAAAATAATGAACAGATAATTGATTCAAGGCTATGATTAATATCAGTTTTGATGTCAAATTTATCAAAACCAATTATTTATGGTGAAAATCCATTTATTGAAAGGATTCAGTTAAATAATGGATGGGAAAATTATTTCTACTTGAAAGATATTATTTGCCTTCCGTATTTGTTTCCCCCTTTTTCTCCATTCTAAACTGCCCTCATTTCTTAATGCTTGGGGCAGGGCGCAAAATAGCAAGAAATTTGAGTTTCCTCAAAATAATTTCGGTAGAGTTGAGCAATTCCCACCTTAACTCTGCATCGATTTCCTGATTTAGTTTTAGCGTGGAATTCAATAGTTTGTACCTTGGCAGGGTATAACTTATAGATGAAACCAAATGTAGGCCAAAACTCAGTCCATTGTGTACTTTTAACTATATACAATTACCCAAACGCAAATTCATTTACTGTAGTGAAACGTAATTATATTTCTTGTCTCGAAAAGAATGTCATGAAAATTTGGATATAAACTTTGATAAGTTCAAAGGACTTGATCTCTGTATAATCTTGGTATACATATGTATGCCTCCTGTCTCTAAAATAAATATCTGTTCTTCCTCCTTTTTTTATTTTGAAAGAATTGTTGTTCTCTATGAAAATTAAAAGTATTAATGCATTGCTTCTCCTGACATGTCCCTCATTACCGACCTGGTCAGTGAGAGATGCACGTAGGAAACATATAATCACTATATTTATCCTTTGCAAAGATTTCCAGGGATTGATTATGAAATACTTTCCTAATTTTCTAATTAAAC